TCCGCACCCGGGGCGCGCTCCTCCAGGCCTTCAGCGTGCAGACCGAATGACGCGAGCGAGGCGCGGGGTTGGGGGGCGGGCCTCCGCGCTCCCGCGGGAACTCACCCGCCTCGGCCGTCTAGCCGGCCCCAGGCCGGGCAGCGGGCTGCAGCTCCCTTCGCACAGCCACTCTAGCACCGCGTCCTCTCTAGCGCCCGTCGTCTCGCCTGCTCCGCAACCTCGCTCTCGTCCGGGGGCCCTCTCTCAACAACGCCCCTCCCACCTTCCGCCTCGCTGGCTGCGCAATGCGCCCAATCATCGCCCGCCTGGTCCTGCCGTTAGACCAATCGGTGCTCAGGTTTCTGAGGACTTAGCCAATAGCGAGGAGGAGCGGGATCAGGCAGCGCCCAGCCAATCCTCTATCAATATTCCCCCACCGCTCGGCCTCCAGGTAGCTAGCGCCCGCCCCTGTAGGCCTCCCAAGAGGATCCTCCCCTCCCAAATCTTTTTGGACTCCGCCTTTGATGGTCGAAAGGGCATCGCTGAACGGAGAGCTGCGCGGTGACGTCGGGAGGCGGAACGAGGCTGTAGGCGCCATCTTGGGGGCGCCCGGCCAGCCTGGGCCTTGGGATTTTGAGCAAGGTGTGGGTTTTTGAGACACGCAGTGCTGTGAAGGCCGGCGGATTACAGCCCAAGAACCCCCGAGGGCCAGTGGCAGGAAATGAGACACCGCTCGTCGGGAATGGGAGCGGGGACCAAGCAGGAGCAGTCAGGCTTAGTGAAAGGGGGAAACCGGGGCTTAAAGATTTCATTTTTTTATTGGGGGGGGGGGATGAAAAGGGTAGGGAGGAAATTAAGGCAGGGCGGGATGGAAAGAAAAATGTTAGGAAAGGAAGTTTAGGGGAAGAGGAAAACCTAAAGTACTTGGCAGAAAGTGGGAAAAAGGTAGAAGAGAGAAAAAGGAAAAGCTCGGTTAGTGTTATGCCCAAATCCCTGGGTCCCCACAAAAGCCAACAAAGGAGACAGAGTCCCATATGTAAAAGCAAAGAGCCTTTATTTTAATCAAGTTTGCAAACTCGGTCTCTCCGCATGTTCAACGTATTGGGATATCCGGAGAGCCCCAAGCTCAATTAGAATTGGGTTTTTATAGTAGTAAAGGTGGGAGTGAGGGGTCTCTGAGGTTCAGGACCCCTGATTGCCTAACATTTGTCTAGGGGTGTTCTGGTGAAGTGCTGGTAGGTGTTTCTATCTACAGTGCTTGGAATGCCAGGAATTTCTTTTGATTGGTCTGCTTGGGTAAGGGTTGGGTAATCTCGGCCTGCCAGGCATTGTCTCAGGGTAAACTATTGAGACCCTAGACTCCATATAAATGTATGGCCAGAGTCCCAGGTGATAATGGTTGGAGGAAGTAAAGAACTTCCTTTCTGCTTAGACTTAGATAATCATGGCTGGCCCTCACAGTAAATTCCTTTGGAAGAAGCTGAAGTTGTGGGGTGGAGATCCCAACGAAGGAAATCGATCCGTAATGGATCGAGTCAGTTTTGGGTTTTGTTCTTGTTTTTGAGATAGAGTCTCACTATGTAGACCAGGCTGGTTTCACAGAGATAGGCCTGACTCTGCCTCTTATGTTTGGGGGATTAAAGGCACGAGCTGGGTGGTGGGAGCTCACACCTTTAATCCCATCAGAGGCAGGCGGATCAATGTGAGTTCGAGGTAGCCTGATCTACAAGAGCTAGTTTCAGGACAGGCTCCAAAGCTGCAGAGAAAATCTATCTCAGAAAACAAAAATTAAAAAAAAAAAAAAAAAGGCGTGTACCATTCCTCTTTCAGGGTGATTGTCCTTTTCACACAGTTCGATTGTCCTTTTCACACAGTTCAGGACCCCCTAGGCATGAGAAGGCATGGACTTCCAGGCCAGCCAGGGTTACACATAAGAGACCCCATTGCTGGGCAGTGTGATGCAAGCCTTTAAGCCCAGCAGAGGTAGGCTGATTTCTGAGTTCAAGGACAGCCAGGGCTACACAGGGAAACCCTGTCTCGGAAAGCCAAAATGAACAAAATGAAAGCAACCGAGAGAAGGACCTGGTATTCAGAAAACAAACAAAAAGAGAGCCAGTGAGATGGTTCAGCTCCTAAAGCCACTTGCTCCTAAGCCTGATGCTGAGTTTTTACCCTGGATCCACAAGGTGAAAGGAGACTTGAGAATTCTTGTTTTTCAAGACAGTTTTAAAACACTAGGTTTCCTCTTCCCTTAGATTTATTCTCTTAGCGTTTCCTTTCCATCTCACCTTATCCTCCCCTCCCCCGTTTCATCACCCCTGCCTTGGTTTCCCCCTTTCACTCAGCCTGTCTGCTCCTGCTTGGTCCCCTCTCCCATTTCGGCTGAGTGGTGTTATGTTTTCTGCCACTGGCCCTCGGGGATTTAGGGGCTGTAATTCTTCCTTCACAGGCCTTCGGAGCATTGTGTGCCTCAATATTCCACACTTTTTCCAAAATCCTTACCCCGATACTTGCCGCCTACTGCTTCTTCCCGACTCTTTGAAAACTGTCTTCCAACTTTGGCACGTGCCATGACGTGTTTGTGCTTGTGTGTGCACACATTTACACACACCTAAATATAAAATATGGTGGAGAGTGACTGAGGAAGATGTTCAGTGTCTATATTTGACTTCCAAATTTGGACACCAAAGTTTTCTGGAAGCTCCTCCTTGAATCCATGGTCAGGAGGGCCATCAGAGGTTCATTTGGTCAAACTCTGTCCCTGATTTCTCAGATGAGAAAACAGTCTCAGAGTTGGGTCATTTCCGCATTTAAAGCCAACACACTAGAGAACTGAACACAGAACCAGATAACGTTTGTCTGCCTCTTCAGTTGCCCTTCTAGTGGTGTCTAACTGGGTGCCCTGACTTCTTACTAGACTCCTAACAGCAGGCCCACAGGTTTAAACTGGGCTGCTTGGCTTGAATACTGGCCCTGGACTTCCTGAGTTTTGACTTTGGGCTAAACAACTCCACTGTGTCTCAGTTTTTACCTGGGACAAAGAATGGCAGTCTTTGTCTCAGGGTTGTGAAGCACTAAGTAAATACTGCTATATAGACAGCATTATTTTTTGAGATAGGGTCTCTATGTAGACCAGGCTGGCCTTCAAGGCTGGCCTTCTGCCTGTTGGGATTAAAGGTGTGCAACACTATGACTGGCTTGAGAAATTAGTTTTTTATGTTTATTCACTACTGGAAGTAGTGAATTCAGCTGACACCTGAGTGCGTTAGGTGACACTCAGGGCTCTGCCCAGTGCTCTCCATGCATTATTTAATTCTCTGATTAACACTGTAAGGGAGAAACAACTACCCCGAGGTACGAAGAAACAGGCCCAAAGAAATGTGTCCAAGTTCCTATAGGAAGGGAAGAAAGCCATCATTCAGCCCCAGGAGAGGATTTCCCGTCTATACTCAATTCCCTAGTGGGTGGATTGTTTGTGGTCATAAGGTAAATGGTTCACTTCAAGAAGAGCAAAGGGCCAATCGGTGGTGCATGCCTTTAATCCCAGCACTTGGGAGGTGGAGGCAGGTGGATCTCTGAGTTCAAAGCCAGCCTGGTCTACAAGAGCTAGTTCCGTTCAGGCACCAAAGCTACAGAGAAATTCTGCTTTGGAAAAAAAAAAAAACCACTTAAGGAAATGTCCAACATCCTTAGTCATCAGAGAAATGCAAATCAAAACAACTCTGAGATTCCATCTTACACATGTAAGAATGGCCAAGATCAAAAACACTGATGACAACTTAATGCTGGAGAGGTTGTGGGGAAAAGTGAACACTTCTGCATTGCTGGTGGGAATGCAAGCTGGTACAACCCCTTTGGACATCAGTGTGGCGATTTCTCAGAAAAGTAGGAAACAACCTTCCTCAAGACCCAGTAATACCACTTTTGGATATATATCCAAAGGATGCTCAATCATGCCACAAGGACATGTGCTCAACTATGTTCATAGCAGCTTTGTTTGTCATAGCCAGAACCTAGAAACAACCTAAATGCCTCTCGACTGAAGAATGGATAAGGAAAATGTGGTACATTTACACAATGGAGTACTATACAGCAGAAAAACTGACATCTTGAATTTTGCAGGAAAATGGATGGAACTAGAAAACCTCATTTTGAGTGAGGTAACCCAGACACAGAAAGACAATTACCACATGTACTCACTCATAGGTGGTTTTTAAACATAAAGCAAAGAAAGCCAGCCTACAAAACACAATCCCAGAGAACTTAGACAACAATGTGGACACAAGAGAGACTTACATAGATCTGATCTACATGGAAAGTAGAAAGTAGAAAAAGACAAGATCTCCTGAGTAAATTGGGAGCATGGGAAGTTTGGGGGAGAGGAGAGGCAGGGAGGGGAGCAGAGAAAAATGTAGAGCTCAATAAAAATAAAAAAGAAAGAAAGAGCAAAGGATAGGGTTGGGGTACAAATGGGGGAAGAGAGCAGGGTTACAGATTTTAAGAATAAAAGATAAAGATGAGTAAAGCAGCTGGTGGGGTCTGATTAGCTCAGGTTAGAGCCTAGCTGCTCTCTAATGTAGGCTGGGTTTGCCCTTGGGGTGAAGTCACCTGCTTAGGAGCCACCAAAGTCTAAACAAGCCCAGCTCAGCCTTGGCAGGCTCTGTGCTCTTGAATAGTGTTTTGTTCCTGCTGAGGCTTCCTTTTTTTTTTTTTTAAGATTTATTTATTATGTATACAGTGTCCTACATGCCTGTAGGCTGGAAGAGGGCACCTGATCTCATCTCATCTTGGATGGTTGTGAGCCACCTTGTGGTTGCTGGGAATTGAACTCAGGACCTTTGGAAGAGCAGCCAGTGCTCTTAACCTCTGAGCC